GAGTTTTCTGTACAAAAACGGCTTTATATTTAGGAAGTTGTTCTTCAGTTATTTAAACCAAGTACATACAAATAAACTTAAGCAATGAAAATGCAAATGAATGAATTAACATAATATTTTTTATTTCCAATGGCAGGCTACAATAAACAATAAAATAAAAAGAACACAAGGAACATAAAAGCAACAATAACAACAACAACGAGAAACGAAGAAAATTACACAGTGACATGTTTAGCCCATAAGGGCCCTACCCTCCAGTAACGACTCTACATACAAAAGTGCAGGGCTTGGTTTGGTTTGTAGCTCTACGGTCATCTTGTGCACACGAGGACTAAGCAGACTGGGACCTACAGTTTCAAGTGGATTCCGAATTAACTCACAAACATCCATGCCACGACCAGGATTCGAATCTGGAGCCTGTGGTACCAAAGGCCAGAGCGCTAGCCAATTGGCCACCAGGCAGTGCAGGGCAGATAGGACGGTGGGATGATTCCATGTCGTCTCCGGGGACTATAGGGGACGAATTAGCATAATAGGAATGAATGAATGTGTAAATTAGGAAATAGTGAGCTTCGATTGTAAAAAATAATATACTTTGGTTTTTCCAATATTTGTTGAAAATAGATGAATATCAAAAACAGTTTGTTTCTTTTCTTCAGGATAGGTGGCCATTCTCTAGGCAAAACAAAATCCCCTGACTTTTCCAAGTGAAATTTAGAAAAATTCCAGATCATTCGCATAAAACCGAGATAACCATGTAGGCTATTTTAGAAATCCTACGCAAATAGGAAAATTATACTACATCAGTGATTAATAATATTTATATTTAAAAACCTTGCAAAATATGACGAATTTAACAAACATTTATAAAACTGGACCCTCCATAGAAAATCATAAAACAAGAAGTTTCTTTGAAATCACTAAAACTTTAAATCCTCGCAGATTTTCCATGGTAAAAAGCAAGATAATTTTTTTTTAGAAATAGGGGTGAACTAGTCAACACAAGTCTTGTTCAATATACTAAGGCTTGTAGCAATATTGTAGCATTTTTCCCACGAAAAGAGATATAGCATTTCCGTGCCCAGGGCAAAGGAATGTATAGTCTTTAACAAGTGCATAATAACAACCTATCACTGAAATCTGACAGCAGATAAGAATTGTCATGGATATTTATATACATACAATTAGTGTATGGTTCTAATGAGGACAGCCTGACACTAAAATCTGACAGCAGATAATCAATGTCATGGATAATGATACATCATGAAATTAGCGATTATCTGTTCAGACTTCACAGGTCGAAACAATTACAGATGGGATATCGACTACGTCATGAGTTTCTGCATTGTGATTGGTGATAGACCATGGGCTGAGGAAGTGTCCACTCCAAAGAGAAATAAGGGAAACTGACCTCCCTCTTTCCTCTTGACGGATTTTCTTAAAGGAAGGTTTTTGGAGGAGGGAGAATGTTCTGTGACGAGTCGACAAGAAGTGTTGTTTTTCTCTTTTTCTGGCTGGAGATTTCGTTTGTTTGCAAAGTGAGCCCCTTATAGTTTCGTGTATCACGCCAATTGATAATTAAGATCTGCCGCAGGATCGAGAACTCTGAAAACCTCCGGCATTGGAGTGAACTGCACTTGTTAATATAATTGATAACTTTAATTTTCATTTCTTTGTAAATAGTGTTCTGTATATATATACATAATACCTTTAAATAAAAATTAAAGTGTTTCCATTAATCTTAAAGTGGTCCTCTTCTTGAAGCCGCTATAGGTCTAGTAAAAGCCGAGACGTTACACTATATAGTATATCAGGACTAGTTAGCAAGTTTCAGAAATCCGCCGATAAGTAGAAAGCGGAAGCTATTATCTAATAACAGCTTCAAATTGAGATTCTAGAGAGGGACAGGATCTCTAATATTTCCCATTATTGAAACCGTATCTATATAGTAAGCAGCGATTGGACAAAACCTGGCCAAAAGAACGTATAAACCAAATGGTCGGATGTAAAACTTTAAAATTAGAAAAAAATATTTTTATTTTTGCAACAAATCTGTTACTATAATTGTAGAAATAACTACAATTATAGTAACAGAATTGTTTGAAATAATATAAGAACAGAATTGTTTAGTCCTTTTAAATTTTAGAGAAATATTTTATATTGTCGATTGCTCTTTCTTCACAGAAGTTTCTCCATTTTCTGTTCCTCCATTTCATTAACTCTTGTAATGTTAAATATAATTTAAAAAATGTAAAAATATCCCTTTTCATATTTGTAGGAACTATGGAAGAATAACAGATTTGTAGATCATTAACAGATTTGTGATATCACAAAAATCAAATCATTAACTCATCGATAGACTTGTAATATCTCAACAAACAAATCATTAACAAATTTGTGATATCACAAAAGTCCAATCATTAACTGATTTGTGATATCACAAAAATCATATCATTAACTCATTACCAAATTTGTAATATCACAAAAAACAAATCATTAACAAATTTGTGATATCACAAAAGTCCAATCATTAACTGATTTGTGATATCACAAAAATCATATCATTAATTCATTACCAAATTTGTATTATCACAAAAAAAAAAATCATTAACTCATTAACATATTTGTGATATCACAAAAACAGGAAAAACGGTTGTTATATCTCATGGGTTCATCAAAGCAGCTTCGCAAAGAGTTCAAGAGAAACTTTCTGAGAAAGAAGACAATATGAAAAGTATTACAATGGAAAAAAACAAGTAGAATTGTTCATAGTATGCATGGTCTAAAACATACAATATCGAGAAAATGAAATATCTAGATATCTAGAATATATATATAGAATGTAGAATATATCTAGAAAATGAAAAATTAGGCACAGCAGAGAAAGAATGTTTTTTTCCCCATAGTTGATGCATATTTAGAAAAAGAAATTATATGCAAGAGTTTAAAAATTTTTATTATCCACATAATGTAAAATATAAAGCTATTTGTAACAAAACAACTAATATTAATGATAACATGAATACCATCACTAAATTAGGACGAAACAGATACTTCCTGAACAAAAACCTGAAAATAAACATAATATAAAAATTACTTTTTTATTAAGAAATTTAATAGCATAAAACTGTTTTTGATACATTTATTTATTAAGATAAAATAATTTAATATGTGAACTTAATTCCTTTAATCTAACAATAAAAGAAAATAAATGAACAAATTTTGGTTTTTGCATAAAATTATATCTTAAATGGCATTGAATTAAAAAAGATTTTGTTCATTTATAAATTTAAATTAAATGCTAATATTTCATTTCATTTCATTAAACATACAATTTATTATTTTGTAAAATGGTAAAGTATCTAAAAACTGATAATTTATTTCATTTCAATATTACACAATAACTGTAATACTTACAAAATAACAGTAAGACAAAAAATAAATGAGCTTGAAAATCCCCCACTACAGATAAACCAATGATGAAAACCCCTAAAATCAAATAAAAATGTAATAATTAAACCTAAAGCAAATTGTTTAGCTATTTTGTCATTCTTTTAATGTATCATAGAAGATATTATCAAATATTTGTTTTAAAATATTCAAAAAAATATGCGCTTCAATAACAAAACAATTTATGGGACAATATAAAAGGAAATTGTATTTCCATATGAATGATCTAGCATACTAAACCAATATAAAGCTAGAATGCTAATAGAAAAATATATAACATCTTATTTTGTGAGAAAAATATATATTTATAAAGCTGTTTTAAGTTTTGTTCATTTTTTATATTGTAAAATATTAAGATATTAATAATCTTATCTTATGAACAATAATAAATGATTTAAATTTTTTTATCCTTTGGCAAATGAATTTTTCAATTTAAAATTGTTTGTTATAAATCTAAGCTGTTTTAACGTTTTAAATATGTATAATTTAATACATATATTAAATTATATATTAATTCTATTATATTATGTATATTGTAGCATTTTTTTTTATCACGGGAAGAGTTTTGGCATTTCATTCCCAGAAGAGAGGAATGTATAATCTTTTACAAGTATATCTTTGACAAGTACATATATTTTTTGACAAGTACCCATCACTCAAATTTGACAGCTGACAAGCAGTTTTGTGAGTAGTTATATGCAATTAGTGCTTTGTACTGAGGAGAACAACCTATCACTCAAATATGATAGCGGATATTCGGTATCATGTATAATGAGAAATTAGCGAATGTCTGTGTGACTTTCACAGATCGAAACAACTACAGATTGAATATGGACTACACCGTGAGTTGTTCCATCGTGAATGGTGATGGACCATGAGCTGAGAATTGTCTACTCTAATGAGAAGTGGGGGTATCTGATATCCTGGATTTTTTTAAAGGAAGATTTTTTAGAGAAAAAGACAGAGAAATACGATGAATTGACAATTCTTTTTTTTCTCTGAAGTGACTGAATATGTCAAAGTTCCCGACTATTTTTCAAAGTGAACCCTTATGGTTTCGTTTATCACACTGTGTGATAATTAGGGTCTGGCGCAGAACAGGCAATACCATTCGACGTAGACTCAAGAGCTCTAAAAAATCTTTGACCCTGGAGTGAGCTGTACTTGTGATTTAATCGTGCATCTGTGATCAAATTTTATTTTAATTTTTCATTTATTTATATTATACCCAGCTTTTTTCATGTATATATATATATATATATATATTGTTGTTGTTGTTGTTGTTTCTTATCCCACTTGGCTGGCCAAGCCCACGAGCCCATATGGACTCATGATTGAAGGGGAAGGAAGCAGCTTCTGTTGTGATGGAGCACCCGTAGGTAGAAGCCTGACTTTTGCTCCGTGACGCTCTTACAGTCATAAGAGACCGGGACCTACGGCTTAAAGTGGATTCCGAACCACTACAAACATCCATGGTACCGCCGGGATTCGAACCCGAAACCTGTGGCACCGAGAGCTAGACACTCGGCCATTCAGGTCCCAAATTTGCCAACGGCACGCGGTGTTCCCAGGTGGTCACCCACCCAAGTACTGACCGCGCCCAATGATGCTTGACTTCGGTGATCTAACGAGAACCGGTATATTCAGCATGATATATATATATATATATATATATATATATATATATATATATATATATATATATATATATATATATATATAGTACTTGCAAATAAAAGTTAAAGTGTTCCCATGAATCTGAAAGTGACCCTCTTCTTGAAGCCGTTATAGGTCTAATATAGGCCGTGACGTTACAATATTAAAGCACGGTGCAATAGCAACTTTTAAACATAAATGTCTCTTTAAGTTTTTTTAAATACTTACCTTTATGAATATTATTTCTTATTTAAAAGAATTTTAATTAAGTATTTAAAACATAAGCTTTCATTCATAATAACTTTAATATTTCAATAACAGATTTTGATTTAGTTCTTTATTTTGTTCTTGAAAGAAACAGTTTTTTATACTTCATAAAGCATAATTAAAAGAATATTATAGAATATATATACTTTCAAGGAATATTATATGTATATATATTCTTATAAGTAAGAAAGCATATATATTCTTTATAAAAGAATATATATACTTTCTAACATATCTTAAACACTTATTCATTGTATTTGTTCTTCTAAACCAATTATGAATAAATCAATAAAATTCATAGATTTTTTTTAAGCTTAAAAAATAATTTCAAAATATAACTTACCCATCATTTTTTAGTCTATTTACACTTTTTGATTCATAAAACGTTGCTACATTCCCTGCAAAAAACAAACAAAATAAGACTTCAGATTTAATTCAAGTTTAATTACACTAATCCCTCATTATATCATACATGATTGCAGACAAAGAAAAAGCATAATGTAAACGATTTTATTTTTATTCTGCGACATTTTTAAAAAAAGGCAGCCATATTCAAATACACAATAAAATAAGATGTTAATGTGATATAAATTGACGAAATAACTATGTAAATTATAATAATAATAATAATAATTAATTATTTTTAAATTATTATTTCCTATTTTAAGATATTAAAGGTTATCTTATGTAGAACACACCTATCATGGCAAAGTATGCATTACTATATATATTTTTTATATTGTTTTACAGTGCATTGGTGCAACGGGTGGGTCTAGATTGTAAATGGGATGTAGTTGAGTTGAGATACTTGAGGCATAGGTTTATTTGCACACGGACAAACACCACACACATAAAATTAGAGGCAAATAGTTGTTAACATTTAAAATAAAGAGAGACAATTATAGATTCGTAGTAGGATTCCGCTTCTGAGCCGTAAAACAGAAACTGAGTTATGGGCAGGATTGCGCTAAATATATTTCCTCTCTGGCGTTTCTCAGCAGTAGGGCAGAATGGGTATATCAGGATATCTCTCGGGTGAGAGTCTCAAGACCTGCCGACCATTTCTCCTGAATGCCGCACTTACGAAACTGTGGGAGGAAGAATGGTTATATCGTCAGAGAAAGGGTGATTACGATAGTAGTTTATTACAGATGTTACATTTTTTGCACGGAAATAAAAAAATATAAAAAATTATTGATGCGTTAAAGATGTTCGGAACATTGTAAAAAAGAATTATAATAATAAGTTTCTCCACCATGATCAGCTTAAATTTTAAATTTAACTACTTTTAATGATTAATTTATTAATTTCCATGAGAAAAAAATATGATAAAAATTATAAAATCAAACAATTTGACAAAAGTAGAATTTTCAAATCATGAAAGTTTTTTTTGGAGAAAATACTCAATTAGGTCAAATTCATATTTTTTTTAAGTGTTTTATTTTTCAAGAAGCAATTTAAATACAAAATATGAAGATACTGATGAATAACAAGATAAATCATAAAACTGGAAAATTAAACTAATTAATACAACCTTATATATATATATATTCCAATGCAGCTGGCAAACAGACATGGACGTCTTTGGATGCCTATAATGGCTGCACCGATGTTACTCACTTTGCATTACCCAGGGGGCGCGTGTAACTTGATGGTAAGCCACGGACGCGGAGTAACAATGCCCCCGCAACGCTCTGCGATCCTATTAGGACCGGGACTTACGGTTTAAAGTGGATTCCGAACCACTACAACCATCCATGGCACCGCCGGGACTCGAACCCGAAACCTATGGTACCGAGCGCCAGAGCGCTAGCTGCTCGGCCATTCAGGCCCGCAATTTAAAATATAAGAAAAGCATTTAACTTTGACCCTATTCATTAAATATTTATGTTTCAGAAATATTAAAATAACATTCATATGTAACCTATTTCAATGAATAAAAAATATATGTCTCTGAAAAAAACATAAGGCTATTTTCAAACAAAATATTTTTCTTTAAGCTAATTTTTTCAAAATCTTTACAAATTTCTACCAGTTTTTAAAAAAATTTACTATTTTAAATCAATTTTGAAAAAAAAATAATTTCATTTTTTTTTTTCATTATTATTATTAGCGTTTATCTCCTATACTATCGCCAAGAAAAGCCGAGTGTCTGGTGTTCGGTGCCACAGGTTTCGGGTTCGAGTTCCAGCGGTGACATGGATGTTTTGTAGTGGTTCGGAATCCACTTTAAGCCGTAGGTCCCGGTCTCCTATGACTGTAAGAGCGTCACGGAGCAGAAGTCAGACTTCTACCTACGGGTGCTCCAATAGAAGGTGCCCCCCTCTTCCCTCCTTCCATGAGGGATACGACAACAACAACAACAAGAATAAGTTTAAGCAGCCAAGATAATTTTATATTACTTATGATGTCGGATGCTGAGGAGTCGTCTCTAAACCAACTAAGGGGTTAATCTAAGGATACTTTTGCCAAGAATAGGTTAAGTAGCTAATGTAATTTTTTAATTTAATATTTTTTTTTTCTAATGCAGCTGGCAAACACTTAGACAGCTTGATCTTGGATGCCTTAAGGCAAGCGCTGCACAGACGTACTCACTTTGCATGACCCAGAGGGCGCGTGTAACTTGAAGATAAGCCACGGACGCAGAGTAACAATGCCCCCGCAACGCTCTACGATCATACTAGACCGGGACCTACAGTTTAAAGTGGATTCCGAACCACTACAAACATTCATGGCACCGCCGGGACTCGAAGCCGAAACCTGTGGTAACGAGCGCCAGAGCGCTAGCCACTCGGCCAATCAGGCCCCTTAATTTAATATTTAGAAAGAATTTAATTTATATATAGACTATTTAAATGTATAAAAAGTATTCGTCTCTGCAAAAAATAAGACAATTTTTAAAGAAAATATTTTTCCTTAAACTAATTTTTTCAAGTTCTTTACAAATTTCTATCAATTTTTTAAATTTTTAATATTATAAATCAATTTTGAAAAAAAAAAGAGTTTCACAAAGTTTTTAATTTTTTTAACAATTGCATCCCATCAAAATTTCCAATCATATGGAATACATTGTCATGCATCAAAGCATTTCTTTATAGTTTAATACAATTCAATGATAATTGACTTTCTTTTATTTTTATTGTGTCAATCAATTAATTTTATAACATTTATAACAAGCATGCTGTTTATATGTTATTAATTTTAATTGATGAAATTTCAAAATTAAAAATATAATTAATCACATTTATTTAAAACTGACTACATAAAAAAAAAACTTCATGGAAATTTGTTTCCATTAACTACAATTCACATAAATAAAGGAATGTAATAAGATAATCTGCATTCTTAAATTTTAAAACAACTTCACTTTCGGACTGTATCACAATTAAATGCTTTTTTTTAATTCCCTGTTGTATTGAGATAAACAAATAATCGGCTTTAGTTTTTAAAGAACTCTATTAAACCTAAACATTGATATTTAATGAAAATGGTTCTTTTTTTTTTTTTTTTTGCGTTAAGTTAAAAATAAAAATTTACCTTTACCGAATTTCTTAATCACTGGAGCATTTTTAAACTTTCGATAAATCTTACAATTTTTAATATAAGATCAGAGCAATTTGTGTTTTATTAAGAATATTTCTAACAATGCCTTAAAAAATTATATTTAGAGGATTAACATTATTCAAACTTTGGACCTACGTGGACAATGAGTTAAAAAAAAAAAAGGCTTCATTACATTAAAAATAAAAGAACCTTGCTTTTTTATTGTATAATGTAGTAGTTATTTGAAATTTGTGTTTAATTTTTAATTTAAGTCATCATCATCATCATTGGAGCTACAACTCTTGAATGGCACTGACATCCTTCGAAATTTTTTTGCCGTTCAACACGTGCAGTTGCCCTTTGTTTCCAGTTAGTAACACTAAGTGCATTCAAGTCCTTTTCGACTCGATCCACTCATCTTATTCTTGGTCTTTCTCTGGTTCTAGATCCGCTGGGGTTTTCCTTAGGAGTCTTCTTGTGATTCTGTTTAACTACCTTCTATCTGCATGGAACTAAGCCATTAAATTCTCCTTACCTCCGTAACAAATAATTCCTAATGTTGTTGTTTCTTATCCCACTTGGCTGGCCAAGCCCACGAGCCCATACGTACTCATGATTGAAGGGGAAGGAAGCAGCTTCTGTTGTGATGGAGCACCCGTAGGTAGAAGCCTGACTTTGCTCCGTGACGCTCTTACAGTCATAGGAGACCGGGACCTACGGCTTAAAGTGGATTCCGAACCACTACAAACATCCATGGCACCGTCGGGATTCGAACCCGAAACCTGTGGCACCGAGCGCCAGAGCGCTAGACACTCGGTCATTCAGGTCCCAAATTTGCCCAACGGCACGCGGTGTTCCCAGGTGGTCACCCACCCAAGTACTGACCGCGCCCAATGATGCTTGACTTCGGTGATCTAACGAGAACCGGTATATTCAGCATGGTACGGCCGTTGGCTTCTAATTCCTAATAACAATCATATGCTTCTTTATTTGTTCTAACTCTCCCTTTGCCATTTTTATTATGCTGTTCGAAACATTTTTCTTTACCATACTCTCAACAAATCTTCGTCACACTTTACTCATAAGTCCATGTCTCATAGCCATAAAAACGATTGATCTGATAATGACTCTGTATGCAAGAATTTTTAACTTTCTATTTAGTTAATGGGATCTTAACAGCTTTTGTAGT